TTCTTTTTATGGAAATGGTTTTTTTTTCATGGAAAAGTTGATGTTGTGATCCTTTGCTTGTTTTCCTAAAATGATGCGACAAATATGGTTTTTACGAAATTAACATAATTATGGTCGATTGTTATGAACTGAACGGACAGTGTGATAAATCAGATCATTTGAGATGCATTCTTCAAAGTTTTCTTCTTTGGAATGCCTATTACAAATGAGGCGGCCATAAATTGCAATTAAGTGAACAATGCCTATCACTTTTATCTTCATGTTTTGCTCTTAGTTTATGTATTCTTTTTGTGCATGATTTTGATTTCTTTCATTTTCTTTTCCCTGATGTTAGATTGGGTCAGGAACGTATAGTAATGTGTACAAAGCTAAAGATGTGTTGACGGGGAAAATTGTTGCCCTAAAGAAAGTTAGATTTGACAATTTGGAGCCCGAGAGCGTGAGATTTATGGCTAGAGAAATTCTAATTTTGCGGAGACTGGATCATGTCAATGTTGTAAAGTTGGAGGGTCTGGTTACGTCAAGAATGTCATGTAGTTTGTACCTGGTGTTTGAATACATGGAGCATGATCTAGCTGGGCTTGCTGCAAGCCCTGAAATTAAATTTACAGAACCACAGGTTAGCCAGTATTTCGCTAATCTTTGAAGTCCATTTGCCACTTTTAAAAATATATAAATGGTTATGGTACTTTTCTGATGTTTTGAAATTTGATGCATCTCACAATTCAAATTTCAGGTAAAATGTTACATGCATCAACTTCTATCTGGACTTGAGCACTGTCACAACCGTGGTGTGCTTCACCGTGACATTAAAGGATCAAATCTTTTGATTGACAATGGAGGAGTACTTAAAATTGCTGACTTTGGATTGGCTTCTTTTTTTGATCCAAACCATAAGCATCCAATGACTAGTCGGGTGGTTACTCTATGGTATCGACCTCCCGAGCTCCTTCTTGGGGCTACTGATTACGGTGTGGGCGTGGACCTCTGGAGTGCAGGTTGCATTTTAGCGGAGTTACTAGCTGGGAAGCCTATCATGCCTGGTCGTACCGAGGTAACTTGATGACTCTTTTTGCATTTGCTTTTATCCTTGCTTGTAAAAACTAAATTTGTGGGAAGACATTTAACTACTAATGTTTAAAATGGAGATATCGCCAAGTAATTTATAGCTATTGCATTGGAATGGTCAATGCGCACATCTAGCTAATTGACTTTCATGAGACTGAGTTTCTTGTGTTCAGTTGGTTAAAATAGATGTTTGAAGCTACAACCTTATCCAGTTTCATTGTTTGTTAGTTTTAAAATGCTGAGATGATAACATTTTTAGGGTTTCTCACTGACTAAACTTCTGACATAACTGTAGAGCGTATCTCACATATTTGCTGCTCACGTAGGTGGAGCAACTACATAAGATATACAAATTATGTGGTTCACCTTCAGATGAATACTGGAGGAAAGCAAAGTTGCCCAATGCAACGCTATTTAGGCCTCGGGAGCCTTACAAAAGATGCATAAGAGAGACATTCAAAGATTTTCCCCCAACTTCATTTCCCCTTATCGAAACTCTTCTTGCAATTGATCCAGCAGAACGTCAGACAGCCACAGCTGCATTGAGTAGTGTGGTGAGTTATTATACTATGATATTTTTTTTCTAATTTCAGGATCTTGATACTGTATGGCTGCTTTCTATGTACTCTAGTTCTCTCTACCAGCTTAATCAACCAGAACACATCTTGGTTTCTTGACAGTAGACTTGTCGGATTTAGATTCAACACTGATAATTACTTTCTGCATCTCTTCTTTTGATTTTAAATTTTGCAGTCTGGAATGTTAATGAGACTAAAGCGTTCCTTAGACTGTCGCCCACTTACCTGCCTAGAATTGGGGCCCAAGTCATATCTCATAGTGCGGTCCCTAACCATCGCTTTAGAGTTTAGACTCTAGTTATGCTAATTGGGTCCATATGTTGATCCATGCCTGCAACGATGAAAATCATGTGCGCGCTAATTGATGGTTATTTGCATCTATTATGATTCCTTCGATAAATGTGCTTACATACTCTATTTGCTCTTTCTTTCCTCATTTGCAGTTTTTCCTGTCAGAGCCTTATGCTTGTGAACCTTCTAGCCTCCCAAAGTATCCTCCAACCAAAGAAATAGACGCCAAACGCCGGGACGATGAAGCTCGTAGGTATGTGTCTTGTTGACTTTTTGTTCTTTCACCTTCTGATATCTTGCTGTTAAAGACTACTTATTTAGCATAAATCATGCATGTTGTCAGAGCCTGGACCTTTGAGGATAGAGTATAATGAACTCGTGTGATCATATTGATACTCCGATGGGTTTTATTAGTTTATCTGTTTATTATATGGAGCTTTGGACAAGATTAAAAATAGGTCAATAAGACACCTCATTTGTCTAAAGTTACTCATTTTCTGGTTTTCTATGTAAACTTTCCCTGAGTCATCTCTCGCTCGCTCACACAGATTCTTTCTGTCATGTTAGCCCTCGAGCGCAAACATGCATTTCTGCTGTCTTGAAACATTTGTAGCTAATTTGTTACTGTTGTTCGTCTTAGTATACTATTTTGGCAAAATACTTATTTTGGTATATTACTTGTCTTGAAGACATCTCTGAAACAGGGCAATGTTTGATACTCAACCACCATAAGCGAAATTAATTCCATAAACACACTTATCTTTATAATGTGTGAAGTCTGACTAGCACAATTTTTGGTGGTTGTGCAGACTACGAGCTGCTGGTAGATCCCAGGCTGATGGTCCAAAGAAAACACGCACACGGGAACGGGCTCCTAGGAGTGGTATGCCGGCTCCAGAAGCCAATGCGGAGCTTCAGTCCAATATTGATGTATGTCCAATAAGTTGCCTCTATCAATTATTGTGTCATCGTTTACCCTTGACCCTTCCATTTGCATAAACATCCTTCTTTCGCTAGTCAAGAACATGCATATGCTTCTAGATTATGTATCCGTTAAAAAAGATAAATGAAATAGAAGCGGCCTAGCTTTATGAAAAGAATACTGCTGAGATGTCAATGAGATTAACCTGTTTGGTTTGCCATATGTAAATGAGTTTTGATTTAATGCACTTGGTGTCTATATTCTTACACATGACGTGACCATTTGGCCGACTTTGGCATTAGTTATATGATTCAGGTTTCGATTTATAAGTATGTTAAACACATCAGTTTTCTTCTGAAACAGAGAAGGCGCCTAATTACGCATGCAAATGCAAAGAGCAAAAGCGAAAAGTTTCCTCCACCACATCAGGATGGGGCAGTTGGCTACCCCTTGGGATCTTCACATCATTTTGATCCTGCCCTTGTTCCTCCTGATGTCCCTTTCAGTACAACCTCATTCAGTTATCCTAAAGAATCACTACAGGCTTGGTCAGGTCCGTTGGTTGACCCTGCTTCTGCCGGTGGTCCAAGACGGAAGAAACATACTGGACACGATGGGCGAGAAACTTCAAAATCCTATACAGGAAACCTTAGAGAGAAACATGACAATGCTCGTGTTAAGGGAAAGAGAAGTGCGGCTTGAAACCGAGTTCATATGAGGAAGCGTAGTTACAAAGAGTTTCCGGAAAAGTGAGTTTATCATCTCCAGCTTCTAGCAGTGTATTTTTCCAACAGAAATGCAGGGGTAAATACAATTTTTTTTTTTAATTTTATAAATCCCAATTAGCTTCTCTTTTTTTTTTTGCCCCAATACTTACAAGACATGGGATTTTTGTTTTGTTTGTTCATTTTTCAATTTGTTGGTGAGATTGGTGAGAGAACTTGCCTCTGTTATGTACATCTTCATCTTTTGATTCCTTTTTTTTCCAAGTGTGTGGTGTTGGAAACTTATGCTTAGAGTAGTGAAATGATTTAGTAAAGAGTTGCGTTTATACGCCAACTTCTTCGTCAAGTTTTGTTCATCAAATGATGCGTCGGTTATTTATTTTAGTATGCACACCCTCGTGGACTCAACATTTATCTTTTTGTCTTTCTTAAAAAGAGGACAACTGGTGGCGAACTACGGTCATCTATCTCTTTCAGGCTCGGAGGAGACAAATTGGGAATCCACCCCTTCATAGCTTACAAAACACCGAACCCAGGACTTCCTATTCTATTTTTGAAGAGCTGTTGTTTGCACTTTTTCACTGGACTACTTGTGGTTGGACTCAGGGATTTATCAAACCTAAGAATTGAATAAAACATTGGACGATTTGAATTACAATCTCTGAAATGAACCTTTCATTAAAGCAACCACAGAAAGGTAAAGTAGAAATAAAGAACTAACAAAATCTTTGCCCAAAAAATTCAAAAGAATGATCCAAAATATTTTCCTTTTATTTATTAAATAAAAAGAGAAATGGTATAAGGTATTGGACCAATCATGGTATCACGTCTGGCAAATATTTTATTATATTCTATTGTCATGCTTTTAATTTACATTTTTATATTTGAAAATTAGTATCTTCCCAACAAACATGTTTTATTTTAGATAAATCACACATCTTAAAAAATTTCAATCCTAAAAAGTAAAATAAATGAACACAATGCAGTGCCTCAAAACCCAACTTTTTTTAATCGACACATTTTAAATTATTCTAATTTACAAAATGAAAACGAGTTTAAATTTAATTCAAAGGGACATACAAACTAGTCTAACTTTTCTAACGTAACTCAACCCTAATGCATTCACTGTTGACACGAGATACATACTTAAATGGCGGCAAACGAAAAATTTAACGATTTTTCAACTGACCTAACCCTCAACTGCAAGTAAATTAAAATAAAAAATTTAATTGAAATTGGTTAGCAAAGAACGGAAAAAAAAAAAGAAAAACTACACGACAAAAGATCATTAAATTAAATTAAAACCCCCACTAAACAGCACTGAGCACTCTCTAAAACCGCCAGTAAAACTTCCGTAGCTCTCTCTCCTCCCTCCCTCTCTCCCTCTCTCTCTCTCTCTCTCTCTCTCTCGCCCCTCCACACACACGCAGTGGGTTCTTTCTTTCGGTTGCAGAAACATCGACGATCGTCATCTTACTCTCTTCAGAAACCAAGAAAAACTCTCGGGGGCGAATACCATAGAAACCAGAAGGCAAAAGCAATGGAAGAGAGCAGCAACAGCAACACCGCCGCTAGCAGCGTCGCCCAAGCCATTGCCGTAGCTCTCGACTGGAGCTCCACTCCCGACGCCCGCAAAGCAGCCGTTGCTTTCCTCGAATCGGTACTCTCTCTCTTTCTCTTTTCTCTGACTAGAAACTTTACCTGTGCTTTATTAGAACTATAACTTGTCTTTCTCTCTCTAAAAATTTGTAATTTGGTTGCTTTTGTTAAATGGGTATTGGATGAAAAGTATGAAATGTAAATTCTTTAATCGCATTCGTAAGATTTCAATTTGAAGGAGTTTATTGGATGATTTCGTTGTTTTCGGGTGGAGTTTCAGTATGTTAATTGGTATTTTGAAGTGTTGAAAGGCTATGATGTTCTGCAATCTGTTACTTGGTTTAAGCAGCTGTCTCATCTTCCATTGTTGATTATTCCTTCTGTTCAATTTGTGCAGATTAAGACCGGAGATGTGCGGATTTTGGCAAACACTGCGTTTCTTCTAGTGAAGAAGGATTGGTCTTCCGAAATTCGGTTGCATGCATTTAAGATGTTACAGGTATATGATCATAAGGAATGTTCTTTATACAGATTTCTGTTGATTTGTAACTATGTTAGTATTTTCGTCTGATCCAAAGGCCATTGTCGGGAGTTCAAATTTGACATTTGAAAATGCAGCTTTTATTAGGAACTATAACATAACCGCGTCAATTATTCTTTTGTTTTCTTCAATAATGTAATGAGGTTATATCATTTTTTTTTTTTACTATTTAAGTGGTCTAGTTGGACTGTTGGAGATGATTTGATAATATGATCTATGATCAAGAGGTCGTGGGACTGGTTTCCCTTAACATCCAAATGCTCCTGGCAATGTAAATTATTTTGCACTTGATGTCATATTTTAAGTTTTGCTCCCCCCACCTTATTGGGATCATAATAAAGGAAGAAGGGCAGGGTACAAACATAGTGTTCAAAGGGCACAAAGTTTCTAGAAAAGAAAAGGTTGAAGCTTTACAATCTGAGATGTAAAAGCAGTTTCCTGATAATTCTAAATTTCTGTTGAAAATGCCAAAACCCTGATTGATGTAAACTTCTTGTTACAATTTCCAAAATAGGTTTCTGTCTCCCTGTATGATTGCGCTTTCTAGTTCTATCTGAAACATTTAGCATCTAATTATATAACCATGTAAAGTTCTGTGGTATTATTAGTGTAACAAGAATATGCATATTTTTGTGCAGCATTTGGTCCGATTGCGGTGGGAAGAACTAAGCCCTACAGAGCGTAGAAACTTTGCAAATATCACAGTTGATTTAATGTCTGATATTGCAAGTCCTAGTGAGGAGTGGGCTTTAAAAAGTCAGACAGCAGCCCTGACTGCCGAGGTTTACACAGCAGTTCTTTTGAATCTATTGAAACTGCCAATGGTTAGTTTTCCATTGTAATATTCACCTGTTTTAATTTGTTGCAGATGGTTAGAAGAGAAGGACTAAATCTATGGCAAGAATTGTTTCCAACTTTGGTTTCATTATCCTCCAAGGGTCCTATTCAAGTAAATATTTTTCCTCCTTGTTCACTCTCTTTCATTTAAAACATGTTTAGGTTATCACCTTACTTTCTACTCCTCATTGATATTAGGCTGAGTTGGTCTCCATGATGCTAAGGTGGCTTCCTGAAGATATTACTGTTCACAATGAAGACTTGGAAGGTTTATTCAGAAATGCGTCTTGTGCACTCTTTCCTCTTGCCTGTGAATTGCGTGTGTGTATGCACGTGATGCTTGTTCTCTGGATTTAGATTGCTGCATACCTTATCCTGATTCTTAATGGTTAATACAGGAGATCGGAGAAGGCTATTGCTGCGTGGGCTGACCCAATCTTTACCTGAAATTTTGCCTTTATTATACACTGTATGTCTGGCTCCTTAATTTTAATGGAAGAAGTTGCATACAATGGAGTTGTACTAATGAATTAAAATGTGCAGTTACTAGAGAGGCACTTTGGAGCTGCGTTGAGTGAAGCAGGAAAACAACAATTTGACCTTGCAAAACAACATGCAGCAACAGTAACAGCTACTTTGAATGCTGTTAATGCATATTCTGAATGGGCTCCATTGCCTGATCTTGCTAAATCTGGTATAATTCATGGGTATGGTATCCTACTTTGAAGTTTTGGTGGATTCTGATTTGAAGCTGTTGGCAAGTGTCTCTTTCTTATCTCCTCTCTCTCTCTCTCTCTCTGTACAGATGTGGTTTCTTACTTTCTTCACCTGACTTTCGTCTTCATGCTTGTGAGTTTTTCAAACTTGTTTCCCAAAGGTACGAAATATAGTATTGTCAATTGCTTTTTCAATATATATATATAGTTATAAATTATGCGTTTTCCACTTCTTAAGACATTTCCGTAACAGTTGTGTTATCCCGATTTATGTCATGCAGGAAGAGACCTATTGATGATACCTCTGCTCCCGAATTTGATTCTGCAATCAGTAATATCTTTCAAATATTGATGAATGTCTCCAAAGAATTTTTGTACATATCTAGCTCCGGTACTGGGGTAATTGATGAAAGCAATATTGAGTTTGTGGAATATATATGTGAAAGTATGGTGTCTTTGGGTTCCACAAACTTGCAATGTATTGCTGGTGATAGAGCTGTGCTACCACTTTATTTGCAACAGGTAACTAGAACATCGGGCTATATGCAACTCTTTGCTGCTTGTTCATTTGGTTCTGTCAACAAGTGATTGGTTATTGAAATAGAATATGACTAATTTTATTCTTTTTTATTTTCAGATGCTGGGGTTTTTCCAACATTTTAAGCTAGCTCTTCATATTCAATCTCTCAACTTTTGGCTGGTATGAAGATAATTTCCCAATCATTGCTGTAATGTACCAGTAACTGAGACTATGTCATACGCTACATACCATGTTTAATTGTCTTTCATGTTTATATGCATGTTTAGGCGCTAATGAGAGACTTGATGTCAAAGCCAAAGGCTGTTGCTCACTCAGCTGGAGATGGTTCTGATCCGGTCGATTTTGAAAAGAGAAAAATCTTAAGTTTTTTGAATGATGAAATATGTAGTGCAATTCTGGATGTATCTTTCCAACACATGCTCAAGAGAGAAAAAGTAATTCACGGAACAACATTTTCTTTGGGGCAGTTGGAATTATGGAGTGATGATGTTGAGGACAAGGGGACTTTTGGCCAGTATCGTTCAAAGTTGGTAAGTAGTTCATAGAACTTAGATATTTTTGTTTCTACATATGAGCTCATGCTTCTTCAGTTCAGTAAGCATAAAATTTTGTACGACATGTATAGGTTCTCTGGAATAGGATTCTGTTAAATAATTAATTCCATGTACAGATACATGGATGGGTACATTCCTTGACTTTGTTAGTAATTGCCATTCAGATTAGAGGATCCATTAAAGTAACCTTGAAATCTAGCTCATTTCATTTCATGTTGACCATTATTGCTGTCTTGCATCATATAAGAAATTTCTCTTTGTTCTGGTTTACACTAGAAGAAGTCTTGAAAATAGTTCACCTGACCTTCCTTGGCCCGCATTTTTCAAAAGTTTCCTTCCCTGATGAATGCACTTAATGCAGTTAGAACTGATCAAGTTGGTTGCCTTATACAAGCCTCTTATAGCCGGTTCTAAAGTTTCTGAAAGAATTGAGACAATCATCAAAAGCCTCTTGCTTTCTCCAATGCCTGCTCAGGTTCGGTTACAAGCACTTTCAGAATTCAATTTGCTATCTTTTGAGTTTCTAGCATTCCAGTATTGCTTGCAAGCCTTGCGGTGATGGTTCTTATAAATCTCCATCCTCTGTCTAATTTCAGGACTTAGCTGTGATGGAAAGCATGCAGTTGGCTTTAGAAAATGTTGTAAGCACTATTTTCGATGGTTCAAATGAAATTGCCGGGGGTCATTCTGAGGTTCAACTTGGACTATGCAGAATATTTGAAGGTTTATTTTAAACATTTCTTTATGTGAGCTTTGGAATTTTTGTATCCTGAGTTTCTTATCATGACTTGTTTCTTGACTTGAAGGTTTGCTTCAGCAACTTCTTTCTCTGAAATGGACTGAGCCAGCTCTTGTGGAAGTACTTGGGCACTACTTGGATGCAATGGGTTCATTTTTGAAGTATTTTCCGGATGCCGTGGGCAGTGTCATTAATAAATTATTTGAGCTCCTAAACTCGCTCCCTTTTGTTGTTAAGGTCGATTTCAATTATTTAATTTCGTTTTGTTATTCATTGTATTTTAGAGAATCTTTGAATTCATATTATTATTCAGCAGGATCCATCTACAAGTAGTGCACGGTATGCAAGGCTGCAAATCTGTACATCGTTTATTCGTATCGCCAAAACTGCTGACACAAGTGTTCTGCCTCACATGAAGGTGACTCGTGTTTCTTTGATACATCCTTGAATTTTCTGGTGTGTCTTGTCTATACACAACTTTCACGCATATAGTATATGCCACTGGTAAGAAAGACGTAGAATTAAATTAAATCACTCAGAGTAATTTTTATTAGCAATTACAGTCGTAGAATCTCCAATATTTTGAATAGCATACGTTGGCTACATCAACCTAACTGTTGCAAGAATTGACAGATCTGTATCCACATCATTGGCATGTAGTCTTGCTTCCTAGAAGAATAATGTATATCAGAAATAAGATTTTTAAATGCTCCCCAAATTAAAGTTGTGATCTGTAAATATACGAGGGTCTCTATGAGGGAAAACAAAAGAGTTTAGTCAACGAGTGCATGCCCTACTGAAGAGAACCCATGCTTTTAGATTTCGAAAATACCATTCTGTTTATTGACTTTTTCATGTGGTATTTTATGTAGGGTATAGCTGACACCATGGCGTATATGAAAAGTGAAGGTTCTTTACTTCGTGGTGAACACAATCTCTTAGGTGAAGCGTTTCTTGTCATGGCTTCTGCTGCTGGGTAATGCTTCTTTTGCTTGAATTGACCATGTATTTGTATTGTCAGATGGTTCTGCTCTTGAACATTTGTAAACTTTGTACAGAATTCAGCAGCAGCAAGAAGTTCTGGCCTGGTTACTAGAACCTTTAAGCCAGCAATGGACGCAGATTGAGTGGCAAAATAATTATCTATCTGAACCACTTGGTCTTGTTCGCTTGTGCTCCGAGACCCCAGCTATGTGGTCAGTTTTCCACACTATCACATTCTTTGAGAAGGCACTTAAGAGAAGTGGAACCAGAAAAGCCCAGTCAAATCTACAACACAATTCAACAGAAAGTTCTATGCCCTTGCACCCAATGGCTTCTCATCTATCATGGATGCTGCCACCTCTTCCAAAAGTAAGCATGCTGCTCCTGAAAACTAGCTGTCTTAAAATTCCTAAATCCCAATTCACACTTACTTTAAATGTTGTACATTCTCGACCATTTTCTTATGAAGCTTATTCACTACAAGGTAATAGTTGATGCATGTTGTTGATCTGCAGCTGTTTCGTGTCTTACATTCCCTTTGGTCTCCATCTGTATTCCAAATATTACCTGGAGAGATTAAAGCTGCAATGACCATGAGTGATGTTGAGAAATTCAGTCTTCTTGGTGAAGGAAACCCTAAATTGCTAAAGGGTACCATAGCCTTCGCCAATGGATCCCAGATCAGCGCAAGTAAGGAAGGATATGTGGAGTCAAATGAATCAGACATACGAAATTGGTTGAAAGGTATCAGAGACAGTGGGTATGTATTCCTATATTTGAGTTGGTTTGAAACTTTTTCTTTGAAATGCATCTTTTTTGAAGGTTTCTTTCGTTTAATGATTAAGATATTTGTTATAATTGTAGGTACAATGTATTGGGCCTGGCAACCACTGTTGGGGACTCATTTTACAAATGTTTGGATAGTCAATCTGTTGCTCTAGCTCTAGTGGAGAATATACATTCAATGGAATTCAGGCATATCCGGCTGCTTGTTCATTCAGTTTTGATTCCTTTGGTTAAATTTTGTCCTGTGGATTTGTGGGAGGCATGGTTGGAAAGGCTCTTGCTCCCATTATTTCAACACTCCCAACAGGCTCTCAGTTGCTCCTGGTCTGGTCTTCTACATGAAGGGAGAGCAAAGGTCCCAGATGCCCATGCCATACTAGCTGGGTCGGACTTAAAAGTTGAAGTAATGGAAGAAAAGCTACTTAGGGATCTAACACGGGAGATTTGTTCACTCCTCTCTGTTATAGCTTCGCCGCAGCTAAATACTGGGCTTCCTTCCTTGGAGCACTCAGGGCATGTTCATCGTGTTGACGTATCTTCCCTCAAAGATTTGGATGCGTTCGCATCAAGCTCCATGGTTGGGTATGTTTGATTGACATAGTTTCTTATCTAGGTTTCTCAAGTTCTTTTCTGTTAATCTGTACTGTAGTAGTTGTATAACTTTGTGAATTTTATTTTTTCCCTAAGTTCTCTGCTCTCAAAGTGTTCTTCGTTTACAGTTTCCTTTTAAAGCACAAAGGTCTTGCCCTTCCAGCGCTGCAGATATGTTTAGAAGCTTTTACATGGACAGATGGTGAAGCCATGACAAAAGTTTCTTCCTTTTGTTCTTCTTTGATTGGTTTAGCGGTATCGACAAATAGTGTGGAGCTCCTACAATTTGTTTCTAAGGATCTATTTTCTGCAATTATCCAAGGTTTAGCCCTTGAGTCAAATGCTTTCATAAGTGCCGATTTGATTGGTCACTGTCGTGATATATACATACATCTTTGTGAAAGAGATCCAACTCCTAGGCAGGTTAGTTACGATACCTTGTGCTATCTAATATTTTGGGTTATGCTGGTAGTGATTATACTCTAATTACTGATTACCATAAGAAACTTAATTGTCGTGCTTATTGGGTTGCCCAGATACTGCTCTCGCTCCCTTGTATCAAACAACATGATTTGATTGCGTTTGAAGAAGCTTTGACAAAGACATCTAGTCCCAAAGAACAAAAGCAACATATGAAAAGCTTGCTTGTCTTAGCTACTGGAAACAAGTTAAAAGCGCTTGCTGTTCAGAAAAGCGTCAACGTCATAACAAATGTATCAAGTAAGCCCACTTAACTGACTTCACCATCATCTCATGCATTCTGTTTCTTTTCCCAGATTTTCTGCATTTCATATTTAGGTTGAGGTTCAACTTGATCTTTTCCTTTCCTATTCGGAGATATATTTTCATTCAAAAAACTTTATAATTATGCAACAGCTAGTCAACCGGGTATAGTTTTACTAACCTGCTGCAATCATAATTTCAGCGAGGCCTCGCAGCACGGCCAACACCAAAGAAACCCGAGCGGACGATGGAGAGACTGTTGGGCTGGCAGCCATATTGTGATGCATGTGTGATGTGTTGTACAGAAATCAAATCAAACTCGAAGGAAAACATGTTTGGAATATGATGAGGTACGAGAGCTGTTTCTTTTTTTTCGGCCAGAGGTCTACGGAACTTTGTCCACTCCCGGAAGCTACCTCGAATACAAGATTGATCGTTTGGAAGTGTTCCATGACACTGTTATGTTGTATTGTATTGCCATGGAAATTAGGATTTCAAAACTGAAATTTCATTGTATAGCACTAATCAGAAAACAGAGAGAAAAAAGGTTTGGCAGATTAGAACATAAACACACCGGGCAGTTGCCGTTTAACGTTGGTTTGTTTGGAGCTCAAACCAAAACTTTCATGTGCATATCATCAATGTTGTTTCCTACCTTGCAACCAATCATTGTTCGCATGCGAAAATGTAACAAAAATAATTTTGTGTTAAAAAACCACGTGTTAGTCCACATTTTTTTTCCATAGGCATTAAGAAAAATGTTAAAAACTATGTTGAAAGCAGTTTTACTTTTTATTAAGCCGTAGAAGGTTTTTTTTTTCTTTTTATTATTAAATATTTAAGTGGGGAACTTGGAAAATCAATAAAAACGACAACGAGATGGGTTATATGATAGTTTTTTAAACATTTGCAAAACTGAAGAAATTGTGAAAAAATTTCTTCAATACTATGTAAAATTGAATGGTACGAAAATAAATAATTGGATTAAAAAAAATCTAAATAAATGATTGAGGTTGAAAATAGAATATCTAAACAGATGATCGAGATTAAAAATAAAAAATTTAAAAAGCTGCGAGGTATATTTTTGTATCATTTTCAGTGTTGCAAATTTCTTATAATTCAAGTAAAACGTGTTTCGTGTAATGGGGTAAAAGACAAAGATAATCTTCATTATATATTATATATTATATATTTCTTCTCTTCCATTCTCTTCTAATTCTTATTTTATTTGTTTCTCCTTGTTTGCAAGTCATCGCTGTCATTTGTTTCTCCTACACGTATACATGTAGTTTGTATATTGTGTAAAATTCTACCGAACCAGGATCCTCGCCGGATCGATTCTCTCGGCATCTTAGGGATCACGCAATCGTATCCGTTCATCGTATATCGTACGGTCATAAATCATTTAAAATTTAAAATTTAAAATTCAAATATAAATAATACCTAAAGAAAACTAACCGCACGATATATACGATAAACGAACACAATTGCATTATCCCTAGAATCCTAGATAATGGATCGGGCGAGGATACTGGTTCCATTCTACCGGTACACCTAATACACTGTCGTGCCAACGACTTTTTGACAAAGGTGGCACGCGTTCGTTAGTTCGGGCCTTTAGCCCCAACCCTAAACCCTAAGCTTGCACCATACACGTCGGTCGTCCTTCACCATTGCGATAAAGTTACACTAATTCCTAGCCCTCGTTTCAAAAATTATGCTCTCGTGTGTGACATACAACGAATGAATAAAATGTTGAATATACTAATGAAACAATAATTTAAGAATTAATGACTAAAATTCTTGTATATTATAGTATACACCAGTGTTTACTGAACAATCTATATTGTTCAATCTCGACAGAAAAATAGAAAAGTTTGAATGGGAATCATATCATCATTTGACATATGAACGTACAATTTAGTTGTGTATGTTATATTGTACTTTACAACAGTACATATTAAAAAATCTCCGTTCTTCGATCTCAACAGGAAAATACAGAAGTATGAATGGGAATCGTGTCATTTGATATATGAACCTGCAGTTTTAGTTGTGAATGGTAGGTGGGAAGAACGGCAGGTGAGAAGTGTTGAATGAAAAAAGAAAAAGTTTTAAGGTTTTTAAAACTGGATATATATACAGTTAAGCGGTTGCTTCTGGTTTAGTCTAGTTAATTCTATCTTCCTATAAACCCTAGGTATCATCAACCTTTAAAACTTGTACAAGTTGTTCCCTGCTGCACTGCCATTCCCTAAACCTTATTCTCTGCAGGCTTCGTTTTGTTGAAGGTGGTGGTCGTACGTATAGGCTATAAGAGTAAGTACGTAGCTTAGCTACCATTAATGGGACCTGGTGGAGGCCCCCCAGGAGCCCCCGGACCGCCAGGTTTCGGCGGCCCTCCTGGTCCGCCTCCTCTCTTCGGTGGCTTTTTTGATTTTATTGGTTCATGGTACGTATATATGTATGTAAATCTACATCTTTTGATTTGTTTTTGGTATCAATTTGTAAATTTTGTGATAGTATTTTTGTACGTAAATCTACATCTTAACTCGTTTCTCTCCCTCCCTCTCTCTCAAGCCATGCGCATGCCATATCCGAAAATGTGAAATAAAATGTTCTACAAATGTTGATGAAATGACCATTTTGTTTATGGGAGTTTTGCAGTGTGAGTTTTCTGTGCTGCTGCTGGTTATTGCAAGACTGCTTTGGTGGGCCACCACCAGGGCCTCCTGCACCCTTCGGCCCGCCTGGACCGCCGCCACCTCCATGATATCATCAAGCAGGCTTGAGTTTCCAGAAATCAATTGTACCGCGCATATATTAGTAGCAATGCATGTACAATAACTTTGGATTAGAAAGAGACTTGTAATTCCGAGTCCTGTTCTGCTAAACTCCAAAATCCATATAAATTGTGATCATTCACCGTTCGATTTAATTTAAAGAAAACTAATGAAAAAGATTTGAAAACTTTGAGTTTTAACAATAATGATAAAATAAAGGGTATCAAAATTAAATTTTTGACGTAAAAATATAGTTTTTCGTTAAAATAAATAGTATTTGAACTTTTCGTTTCCTTTAATTTAATGTTGAAGGATGAAGTACAATGAAAAAAATTAAATGACCACCTACCATTTGATTGAGATCGAACGTCTAAAAAGTACAATGAAAAAAATTAAGTGACCACCATTTCTTTGGATCCTACGGTATAGAATAAGTCTGTAATTCCAGACATTGTTGAGTTATTATTAGCTATTTATTTTTGTTTCATTTTAGCATGAAATCAAATCGAATATAAAATTTAAAATATCGAATCAAAATACGTTATTGAACAGTTGTAAGTTATATTTTCGTGTCATTTTCACAATCATGTAAGGATGTGTTTGTTGCATCGGAGTATTTTAGACTAGATTAGCTTTCGGAGCTAAGTTGGATTGGTTTATACTAGACTAAGCTGAACTGACTTAATGAAGCGTTTGATATAGAAACGGATTACGAGAAGGATAAGTAACAACTATAATATTAAATTATTTAATCTAATATTATTTTATTCAATCTTTTTTCATTTTGTCTCTGAAGTGTCTAGAACACTCTTTAGTTCCGTTCCATTTATTAATTCAATAATATTTTAATTTTTTATTCAATCTCTCTCTGGACTGTCTCTGGAGAGTTCTTTCTTTTCTTGCTTTAGTTTCGTCCCCATAACGCTCCTTTTCTCCATCTTTTGTCCTGCAAAACCACAACCTTCAATATCATTTTTCCTCTGCAAAATCGTCCCCAAAACTACTCTCTCCTCCCTCTCCATCTCTCCATTTCTCTTCGTCCAAAGCTACTTTCTCCCCTTCTCTATCCATTTCTCTTCGGAATTTTCTGGGAAAAAGGAAAAATTTCTGGGAATTTTCGAGAATAAGGACGAATTTTTCTATTAGGATTGTTGTTATCGTTTTGCATTTTTTTTAATTTGAATTTTGAATTTTGGTGTTGAGATTTAGGCAGCGCTGAGGCTGGGTTTCAGATCTGGGAAATGGGTTGGCAAACAGAGTTGCCCAGAAGCATGCTTGCAGACGTGCAACGTTCATAAACTTGCAGCGTGCGATCGTCTTTGGAGATGGGATTCGCAATCCTATGGTTTTTGGGGGGTTTAGCTAAAGACCAGCTAGTCCCTCCTTTAGTCGAAGCGGATGAGAGCCAGTCTCATTAAATCTAGGCCGTGTGGGAAACAAACACGCCCTTAGTCCAGTCCAGTCTAGTGAATTTTAGAGATGGAAAACAAACACCCCCTAAACTTCTTACAATTCAAGAAAAACGTTTTGGTACAAATGGGGTAAAAGCCACAGAAATTAATCTCAATTCTTCTCCTCTTCTAAATCGTATTTTATTTCTTTCTCCTTGTTTGCAAGTCATTACTGTGATTTGGTACCGACATATGTAGTTTGTGTAACATTGTTACACCGTTATACCTAAAACAATGTCGTGCTAACGACTCTTTATAAAAAGTGGCGCGGCGTTAGTTTGGGTCATCAACACATGTGAATCTTATTTTTATTAAAAATATGATACAAATGTGAGATGAAAAATATAATAAGAGTAGCTTTTTGAAAATCCTGCTGGTCTTGTGAGGAAGTTACACTAATTCATATCCCTCGTCCAAATTTTTACCATGCTTTCGTGTATTGTATACAACAAATGAATAAAGCGTTTGATGAGACCAATGATACAGTAATTAATTCAAGAGTTAACAACCAAAATTCTATGTATATTATATTATACACCGTTGTATACTGAAAAATCTCTGTTGTTCAATCTCAACAAGAAAATGCAAAAGTTCAAATGGAAATCATATCATGAATTGATATACGCACGAACGTGCAATTTTAATTGTATATACTATACTATACACCAGTAAATACCCAAAAAATTTCCGATCTCAACAGGAAAATACAAAAGTATGAATGGAAATCGTGTCATTTGATACATGAACCTGCAGTTTTAGTTGTGAATGGTAGGTGGGAAGAATGGCAGGAGAAAAATATTGGATGATAAAAAGAAAAAGTTAAAAACTGGACTGGAGGATATGGTCAAACACAATATATACAGTAGTTGCTTCTGGTATAGTCTAGCTAATTCTATCTTCCTATAAACCCTAGCTATCATCAACCTTAAGAACTTGTACAAGTTGTTCCCTGCACTGCACTGCGATGCATAAAACCTTAATTATTCTCTGCAGGCTTCGTTTTGTTGAAGAAGGTGGTCGTACGTATAGGCCTAGTGAGTGCGTAGCTTAACTACCAATGAGACCTGGTGGAGGTCCTCCGGGACCTCCGGGACCGCCTGGTTTCGGAGGACCTCCTGGACCGCCTGGTTTTGGAGGACCTCCTGGTCCGCGTCCTCTCTTCGGTGGCTTTTTTGATTTCATTGGTGCATGGTACGTATATATGTATATATAAATCTACATCTTTACTCGTTTCTCTCCCTCTTTCTCTCCCAAGCCATGCACATAACATATCCAAAAATGCGAAATAAATTGTTGTAAAATGTTGAGTAAATGACCATTTTGTTTATGGGAGTTTTGCAGTGTGAGTTTTCTGTGTTGCTGCTGGTTATTGCAAGACTGCTTCGGTGGGCCACCACCAGGGCCTCCAGCACCCTTTGGGCCACCTGCACCAGGGCCTCCCGCACCCTTTAGCCCACCTGCACCGGGGCCTCCAGCACCCTTTGGCCCACCTGCACTAGGGCCTCCCGCACCCTTTGGCCCACCTGCACCAGGGCCTCCCGCTCCGTTTGGCCCACCTGGCCCCCCCGGTCCACCTGGCCCGCCTGGACCACCACCTCCATGAGATCATCAAGCAGGCTTGAGTTTCCAAAAATCTCTCGTGTCGCATACACAGCTTATATAGTAGTAGCAGGAATGTGTACAATAACTTTGAATTAGAAATAGAGTTGTAATTCCGACTAAATTCCGAGTCCAAATAATTCGTGATCATTTACTGTTTGAGTTTAATTTAATATTGGAGAAGAAAGTACAATAAAAAAAATTAAATGATTAGCTACCGTTAAATTGAGATCGAACCATAGGCGACCACCTTTTTTCGGATCCTGGGGTCAAGAAGAACAAGTCTGTAATTCCAGTCATTACTGAGTTGTAATCTTGAGTCAGTACTGAGTTTTAAATTTATTTAAATTTACAATTTGCTATTTACTTTTGTTTCATTTTTGCATGAAATAAACTCGTACATATAAAATTGAAAATATCGACACAAAATACTCGACCGATGCATTATATATACTACCAAATTCTGAAGTTCTAAAGCACATAGTTTGGTACGTTGTTAATTAATTATGAATGTGTAAATATTTCAAGATGTTTATCCTCTGGTGAATGAATGTGTAAATGTTTGAAAAAGTAGCACTAAGACGCAAACGTGACAAAGAAAATGTATCAAACGATAATCTTAATACGTAAGAAATGAAAGCCACAGTGAGAATATGAAAAAAGGTCAACGTCTAACGAATAATATGAATACATCAAACCTTAGCTCCCTAGGATACTTATAATACCTTTTGCACTAGATTTTTGAGGAATACAAATATGAAACGAAGTATGAAAATAACAAAATATCATAAAATTTTCAAGTGCTAATAGAACATAGTAATCGAAAGAATTTGGCTTAAAAAGCCCATATTCACGACAACGCAATAGGTTGAACTCATGATACCGTTTTCTTCAAAACAACGGATCATGAGCACAAATCGGACAACGAAGCTCAAATTTGAATACTTAGATTTTTGCCTTTCATGTTTCATTTTCGATCCACTACGTCATCAAATTTACATCGCACTTATCCAACTATGATTTTTTTTTTTTTTTTTTATCCTTATTTTCACTTCAGATTCACCATGTTTCTTCCCTTTTGAATTAAGCATATTTTCAACCTGAAAAAGAAGGAAACCCTTATCCAAACAGATGTTAATCATGTTATATTACATATTTTAAACTACTATTTGAACGCTAGGACTTAAAATGATACTATCTCGATCCTGATAGATCCAACAAAAGCAGCAAAACAGTGTAAATCCTAAAGAGAATGCCACGTAAAATATAATGATGAGTTCAACATAACAGAACATATAGAGATTATGACAGCAGAATAATATTCAATCCACCTCAAACAGCGAAATATAATACATACGCTGTGTACATAACTAGTGGCTAATGCTATAGATTAATACTATTTATTAAGTTTAAATCGTGTACTCTATTGGTCATTTGTTTTCTTTTAAGTATGTGTCATACTTACTTAACGACGGTGTGCATAACGTAACACTAACTAAAAAAACTTACCAACTAGCCTTTTTTTTACTGTTATTTTTTCTCAAAACTACAGCAATATAAAAAAATTACAAAAATGGTCGGTCCACGTACAAGACATCTGTGTTAAGAAGTTGAAAAATATATACATATATTATTGTTGACTATAAAAATTACAAAACCTACGTGGCGCGCAGGCCGAGTAATTAATAAGCTAACTACGTCCTTCGGTTGAATGCGGGGCGTGCCAACTCGTCGGCCGAGCTCGGCCGAGGAGTAAAATTTGATGTTGTCGCGTTGGGTGCGATGTTGACTTCTGTATCTTGCGATTGCGACCGAGAAAGGAACGCTCTCGGCCTCTGGGTTCTATAGCCTGAAGACAAGGCTACTAATTCTACGGAGTTCACAAGTCGTCGGAGCCTGATTCAGTCACTGTGATTATATTCGTAAGAGTATAAGCACGCCGAATCGAGACCAAACTATATGGGCACAGGTACTCAAATGTGATATACGTCTTGATGGTAAACGTAGTTCGGCCGTCGGAATGCCGAACCCTGAAGCTTACTTGCGAGTATCCAATCATAAAACCACTCGGCGTCCAATGCGCCGAGCAATACAATTCGTAACACCCTACTATGCCGGAAAGGCTTAGTAAGATAACCTCTACCAACAAGGGTTCGAAAACCCTTCTCGGCCGAGACTTAGATAGATAATCGGTCAACCTCGACACAGTGCTGTTTATCCAAACTGAAGGTGCTCCTCGGTCGGCTGATTATGCGGCAGCAGTGCTGTTTATCCAAACTGAAGATGCTCGCCGGGTGCTTCCACAGTGCTGTTTATCCAAACTGAAGGTGTGTCGGCAGGAAAAGAAAAGGAAAAAATCTCAAGGTGTTTAAGAGGTTTTGCGCAGGGCAATTGTATGCTGATTTTGAAGGTCCTTTTTATTGTGTGAATTCTTGTATTTATAGCACCCGTTCCTTGAGGCCAATTCGCATTCTGATTCGGACTGGGAGTCCTTGTCCCATTTCACCTCTAACTCGAACAATCCTACTCCTACTGGGATTCTGAATTTTCCTCCTTTTGAGGCTTTATTCCTTGCCGGTCGAGAATCCTGGTCACACAAGGATTTCCTCGACCTTTTCCATTCATCTGGACTACTTAGGATAGGATTTGGCCGACCCTGCCAGCTGGCCCGGGTTTCATTATTCGGCCCATAGCATTTGTCATCACCTTGGGCCGAGCACATCTACCTGCTCGGCCCAACTATAGTATTTTGGGCACAAACATTGCCCCCTCGCTTCTGAGGTCGCCGACCGTTAACTCTTGGTTTAGCCTCGGCCTTGAAGAAGCGAAAACGTTTATTGCTTTTTTTTTTACTTTACTTCATTAATGACCATTATTCCTGCATATTTATGAGACATGATTGCACTTTCCTCGTTGCCCCCAACGCGTGGCCACGTGTCGATTCTCCGCCGTTCTTAAAAGCTTCAATCATGAGCCTCGAAACCGTGCACTAATTGAAACGTCTTATCCTTATTAATGCATTGAACCTGTCGCCGCACGCAATCGTGCGTCCTGGATTTTCGACTCCTCGATCCCATTTTCGCAGGTTGCCAAAATATCCGAAATGATTGTAGATTTTCCCGGTTAAATTTCCCCCAATTTGAACCAGCGCTTTTCGAATTCCAGTACCTTTCGAATTCCAGACGTTTGATCTTCAATCTGAAAAGCCTATAAATACCCATACTTCTGTCATTCGTATCTTACGCTTTCAGAAATTCCAAAATCCCAATTTTATCACTCCTGTCCGTTCGAGCAAAACCTTCCAGTTCTTCCGTCTGTAATACCTTCTTTCAAAACATCTCTCTTCTCCACAAATGGCCTCCTTCATTTCGAAGCTCTCTGATGAGATCAATAAGTGCAAGGATTTCATCGATCGGAGCGCCGTCAAGACGCTGCGATTTGAAAACGACATGGCCACCACCCACCAGATTCTGGGTCCCCTCTTCAGAGACGCCGTGCCGTCGTCTGTCACTAACCTGCTCAAGGAGCAGTGTTTAATACCCCTGCTGCAGGGGTTCGACTGGTCTAAATGGACTCTAGCGCGACCTCAGGGAGCCTGGCCCTCGACCACCACGGCCTGGGCGGCCTGGGTTGACCGAATGAGCACATTCTTTGGCAAGGAATGGAATGCTCTTGGCATCTATGATGCCATTATTCTGTCGACCATGGAGATTGCCATGGATAAGGAGCTGCTCATGGCGGCCCTGAGTTTATGGTGTTCGGCCACCAACACTATGATCCTGCCCTTTGGCCCTCTCGGCCCCACAGTCCTCGACATCTCGGCCATCCTTGGAACTTCTCCAACTGGCCTTCCAATTGATGCCGCCCTCTCCGGATACCCTTCTCATCTCGATCTGAAGGCACTATTCGACGATAGGGCCGTCGAGACGCTAAGCCGGGGCGATCGGGAGCCCTCACGGGAAGAAGTTCAAAAACTCCACAAGAACTTCTTCAACTACAACACTCTCATCCTTCACTTCGCCAGCCGAGGCGAGGAAGGCCTTAGGAAGGGAGAGCACGAGGCCTTCCTCTTCTACTGGTACAACAAATTCATTTGTTGTACCAGGTCAAACAAATGCCTGGTCGAGAACATGCCGGTGGCCCAGGCATTGGCTAATGGTCGCCTACTGGCGCTCAGTCCAGCCATACTCGCCAACCTCTACCGTTGCCTGGCTGAGGCGACCATTGGCAAGATTGACCCGCACCAGAACGGACCCCTCTGGGTGTTCCAACTCTGGTTGCAGGTCTACTTTTCCACCCTTCGACCGGAGGTTCCTGCCTTCGACCGAACGGCCGCCCTCGGTCTTCAACCGAACCGCCATCGGCCTTCAACTGGCCTCTCGACCGGCGCCTCCTCACCGAGCCGACGAGGTCTTCAAACACTTCCTCAGCCTCGACGTCCTCTCGGATGACGAGTTCCTGGTGTGCCGGCGCCAGGAGTACCCTTCCTCGCTCAGGCTTCCCACGGCAGCATGGGCCGAGTCCGAGGATGCGGACGTCCGTCAGCGCTGGGGGTCGTTTGTTCTGGCTCGCGACCTTCCTCTGGGTTGCGATGCCCGCCGAGCCGGCTGGGAGGTCTATCACCCCCACTTCCTCGCCCGGCAGCTCGGCTATCTTCAAGGCTGCCCCGTCCCTCTGCTCACCTCTCGATCTCTCCTGAGCCGAGGGCGTCTTACCGGTTCCTCTGAAAGGGAATGTAAGACGTCAGACCAGGAGTTCCAAGAGAAGTGCAGGAAATTCCGGATTCGGCCGGCGGTTCCTGAATCTTTGGGAACCGACACCTTCGGGGACTGGTGGGAGGAGTATACCGGCGAATTCTTCGACGCCTCGGCCAAAGGTCTGGTGAAGAAGATTTTCGGCGACCGTCCCAGGTCAACACCCTCGGCCCAACCCAAGGAGTCGGCCCAAGGTAGTTTTTCCGCTTTTCTTCTCTCTTTTCGTCTCTTTATATCACTTAATCCTTGTTACTAACTACTTCGCTCTTCAGGGGGTCGCGTGTCGAGGAAGGTGGAGGTGGTCGCCGCGGTGGCGAAGGCGAAAAAATTGGTGAAGAGGACCATCGCCACCGAGCGGGCAGTTCCTGCCAAACGCCCCCACCGAGCGGCCGAGCCAGAGGATGATGCCTCTCGCCCTTCTAAACGCGTCAAGAAATTGGCGAAGAAGGGCGACCGGAAGATTCATGTCGTCCCTAGTGACACTACAGGGACGCCAGCTCCTGCCGGCTCTCCTCCTATGCCGGCTGCCCCGGCTTCTCCAAACCCGACTTCTCCAGCCGTCTCCCCTCCTGAGGCCACGGCAGACCCCCTCGGCGCACCAGCTCCAGCTTCAGAACCGGTCGTGGCGCCTACCGCGGAGAAGCCGGCTGCACCTGTCGAGGGACCCTCTTCTCCAACGGTCATTCTGGAGGTATAATTCTACTTTTACTCTTGTTCCTTTAGGTTTTTGGTCATAACGCAGAAGGTTTTTCTTTTTGTTCAGGATGTCGAGAGCGAGAGCGAAGAGGTCCCCCTGGAACGCCGTCGCCGACCAGTCAACTCTCCTCCCATCCATCCTCCTCCGGTTGTCGAGGCGACCGCTCGACCGTCTCCTCCTGCGGCGGATCGCGGCAAGAGACCCATGGCCGACCCTGAGGCCACGGCCAAGTCGCCGATCCACCCGCAGGATGAAGATCTCCCCATTCCTCCGCAGGAAGTCTCCTCGGCCTATGTAAGTCTTTTCCTTTTGCGTTAATTTTCCCATGACACATGTTCTTAAAAGACTATTAATTGTCAGGTGCCCGAACGGTCATTTCACCGACAATTCTATGCGCCGACGGGCGTTGTCTATATTTCTTGGCCACCGTCGTGGCCATCAAATGTAGGCCGAGTAATTAATAAGCTAACTACGTCCTTCCGTTGAATGCGGGGCGTGCCAACTCGTCGGCCGAGCTCGGCCGAGGAGTAAAATTTGATGTTGTCGCGTTGGGTGCGCTGTTGACTTCTGTATCTTGCGATTGCGACCAAGGAAGGAACGCTCTCGGCCTCTGGGTTCTATAGCCTGAAGACAAGGCTACTAATTCTACGGAGTTCACAAGTCGTCGGAGCCTGATTCAGTCACTGTGATTATATTCGTAAGAGTATAAGCACGCCGAATCGAGACCAAACTATATGGGCACAGGTACTCGAATGTGATATATGTCTTGATGGTAAACGTAGTTCGGCCGTCGGAATGCCGAACCCTGAAGCTTACTTGCGAGTATCCAATCATAAAACCACTCGGCGTCCAATGCGCCGAGCAATACAATTCGTAACACCCTACTATGCCGGAAAGGCTTAGTAAGATGACCTCTACCAACAAGGGTTCGAAAACCCTTCTCGGCCGAGACTTAGATAGATAATCGGTCGACCTCGACGCAGTGCTGTTTATCCAAACTGAAGGTGCTCCTCGGTCGGCTGATTCTGCGGCAGCAGTGCTGTTTATCCAAACTGAAGATGCTCGCCGGGTGCTTCCACAGTGCTGTTTATCCAAACTGAAGGTGTGTCGGCAGGAAAAGAAAAGGAAAAAATCTCAAGGTGTTTGAGAGGTTTTGCGCAGGGCGATTGTATGCTGATTTTGAAGGTCCTTTCTATTGTGTGAATTCTTGTATTTATAGCACCCGTTCCTTGAGGCCAATTCGCATTCTGATTCGGACTGGGAGTCCTTGTCCCATTTCACCTCTAACTCGAACAATCCTACTCCTACTGGGATTCTGAATTTTCCTCCTTTTGAGGCTTTATTCCTTGCCGGTCGAGAATCCTGGTCACACCAGGATTTCCTCGACCTTTTCCATTCATCTGGACTACTTATGATAGAATTTGGCCGACCCTGCCAGCTGGCCCGGGTTTCATTATTCGGCCCATAGCATTTGTCATCACCTTGGGCCGAGCACATCTACCTGCTCGGCCCAACCATAGTATTTTGGGCCCAAACAATTATACTTTGACCAAAAAAAAAAACAATTTTGTATGAACTTTTTGAATATTGAAATAGCTAGCTATGATGCCACGACAAACCTTTTGTTTATCTTGTCGGTAACGAAAGGGAAGGTTTGAATGTTAGGTTTATGCATGAACATTAGGTTTGTTACTTCCCCGTGAAGTAGATGAAACAACGGGACCGTTGTTTCCTCAATCCAACAACCACCAAATTAAAGAAGAAAGCGAGATAGAAAAGAATATTGAATGCCATACTTAGCCATTAAGCTCTCTCTCTCTCCCTCTCTCTCTCCCTCTCTCTCTAAAAGTTTCAACATAATTATCCACAAATATATAGATATACAAGAGTTTTATGTATATATAGCCGATCAACTTCAATAGCTACGTTGCAATTTCAGCAAGAAAGGAAGCTGAAGAAATATCCATAGGTCTTTTTTGATCAAGAGAGAGAGAGAGAAAGAGAGAGAGATCAGATCATCATCTCCATCAGAGAGGAATGCCACCATGGGGACCGCCGGGAGGAGGGCCAGGAGGTCCGGGAGGGCCGCCGGGCTTTGGTTGCTTAGGTGCCCTCTGTAGCGGTATATGCAGCCTTCTTTCATCTTGGTGAGTTTAGCAGAATGCAAACATTGTTCATTTACGACTAACATTATATCTGTCTAGTCAGGACCTAAGTATTATCCGTAATATTATCCGAAATGTAGCTTCACCAGCTAGCTGCTTATATTCTTGTTTTTAAGTTTTTTTCTAACTAATATCATCTTGGCGTGTATTGCTACTGCAGTGCTTATATCTTGTGCTGCTGCTGCTTGTTTGAGAGCTGCTGTGGGCCAGTGTTCGGCGGCGGCCCTGGTGGACCAGGTGGCCCTGGCGGGGGCCCCCCTCGTTGGTGAACATCATCAACTCACTACGTTCCAGGCTTGTTGATCATGTTCCTGTAGCTTTTATCTATAATTTTTTTCTGTTGAGTTTGACTACATGTTATGTAATAAACAAGTGAGAGAGAGATGTTGCAAATGTTGTGTGCGTTGCAACTTGCTCCTCAATACTCGGTATTCTTCCTTTGAATCGTATTCAATTTTTGTGTTTAATTTCATCAATTTGCAGATTTCCTTCATGTTTCTTACACTTTTGGGCAGAGATAATTGCCCTTCTGCTGCTGCTGCTGCAGCATCATTTCGACCTTCTAACTGTACTAAAACAAATAGACGAACACAATATTTCCCATGAACAATGAAAGTTTTCACAATAACAGATCCAATTTGGTTAAATCTTTTGAGGTGATCTTATTTTGGTGATGAGAGCGGGTCGAGATAAGTGGCTAGCATCATATTTAGCGTACTAACTGGTTGACGCCTTAAATAATGTTCTTGCAACTTTATACTCGTACTTTTTTTCCGATGATGTTTATATTTACGACTAAAGTTTGTATTAGAGAGGATTAAATTACATTAAAAACGACGTAAATTTACCCTTAAACATAATATTAACGAAGAATCATTGACATTTCTCCCTGTAAGCTTAACAATACCATGTCTCTTAGAAATATCCTCGAACAACAGTAAAAATACACAGAACGTTACTATTGATTTTCTGTCAAAAATTACACACATGCAAAGTGCATGATAATTTGCAAAACCCATTTTCCGGCCTATGGACAAGGGCTATCCCTTTCTACCATACAACATTATCTGAAAACACTCGTTCAACATACATCCCGCTTCGTTTAAAGCACACGCTACGAAATTGGACCTACGTACATCACCTGCTCCCTATTCTTCATCTTCTTCATCTTCTTCTTCTTCTTCGGCTTCCCTCAACCACTGAGACATAAGACACAAAAGATGAAACTGCTGTGAAGCAAGGCTAACATCATACGAAATTTAACTAAAAAAGATACACTATTAAGTTCATGCCATCAAATTTTGGTTGCCAGAAATCAACCTTTTCTTTTTCATTCAATAAATTAACCCAAATTGTAAACTATTCTCTTAAGTTGAATGTATACGGACATAACAGAGACTTCTATGTCAAATTTCGACGTATTTCATTTAAAAAAGCTCAGCCACTGGCGTGAATTTGCATAACTGATAGAATAAATAATTGCACCTAGTGAAATGGCAGCATGCGTGCGTTATATTATATAATGATTATTAATCATCGCGTAAGGTAATAGAACAGAAATCAAATAATGGTACTTACTTGAATAAAGGCCGCTGATTGCTTGACATAAACTCTATCTGTTTCCTCTGCATTTTTCTTTTCGGCATCCCACCTCATAATAGCTTCTTCTTGTATAAATTCTAATTCGTACAGTTGATGCAATATCTGGAAAAGTAAATTATAAGTCAGAAAATAAATTAAACTGATCAAAATTGCAAACGAAATTAAGGATAATAAAAAGGGCTAAGTTACAACAAATATCTCATTAAACTTTGGCAAAGCGTTTATTCAAAAAAGTTTCTGAGATGGCTTTATCCATAGCTTTTCATTGCTTAAGAAAAAGCCTGGCAAAAGCACTTGGCAGAAACATATAGTACTTAGTTTATGATCATGTGTAGGAAGACGTACCTTGTCAAACACAGGAGAGAATTCCTTAAAGGACTCACACATTTCTTCAAATCTAAGTATCACTTCAATCTGGAAGTTGAAAAATACTCAGTACAAAACACTAACCAAAATAAGCATCGCAATTCTGTAAAGGTAAAATTAGCAACCCAGTTTCTACAGGAATAATCAGCATAGCATTAACAACCGTCAAAACGAAGGGATCATGGTGTCCAGCAGTTACTCGAAAAAGTGAACATAAAATTTACTTATTGGACTTAATATGCTTTATAAAGGATAGGATATTTGACCTACTCGTGGTTCAAGTCAAATGGAAACAAAGGTTAATATGATTGCACAGGGAACACACACACTACCGTCGAAGCTTAAGAAAGTAAATGAATAGTGCAGATATAAAAATGAAATCAGCACGTCTGCAGAAGCTAGAAGGGAGGGGGAACTAATCTCACTTGTGCAAGAGACCATTGTAGAGTTTAATGGTTGAAGAAGTGAATACAAGCATGAAAGAAAAGGATTCAATTACAAACCTCCTCGTCTATTTCTGCTAGGTAAGACTTCAGCATTTTTTTCCATTTTGCAAATATGTTAACAGTAGCTTGAACCAATTCACCTAAGAAAGGAATTGAACAAGATTTAGTTAAGACCGTATGTCAAGAAGCAAGACAAACAACGTTAGTAATATGAAAATAGCACTCACACTGCAGCTGAGCAAAAATTACAATGTAATTGTTCAATTAAGATATGGATGCTGTAAAGAAAACTTAGAAAACCTTGACCACTTCATGTATGCACGCCTTACCCCCAATGTGATCTTAACTTATAGATAGAGAAAAACCCTTCCAAAACCCAAACCACCCACCTTTTCTTTGGCACCTCATTGAATTATTCCTTTTTACTTTTCCAGAGAATGCCGATTGTTAAACATGGAAATAGAAGCATATTTCTCAAAGTATGTTAATACAAGTTTCCAATCATAAAGAAGTTTACTTGAATGAAAAGTTGGGAAGATAATAGCAAGTTCGGGAAAAGCTACCTGGTGAACCATGTGGAGTTTCTAATGCCAATTTCATCATTGAATAAAATAAAGCTCCAGCACAGTCCGCAGCCACCTTGTTGTATGACAGCCTGCAATGGACAAAAAAGTGGCAAGCATCAATAACAAAAGCATACATACTAACGCATTACAAAATATGGATAAAAGATCATGCAAGAATTGAAGAAATTAACAAAAGCAAGTAATCATGAGTGGTTTAATAAATAAAATAATAAAATAATAAAAAATCAATATAAGTTAGCACCGTTTCATCAGATACGTGTTTGTGCCTACAACTTGAAATATTAAGAGAGAATGAACATTTTGCATACCTTCAGAAAATGTAAAAATAAGAGGTGCAATAACAAGGAAAAGAGTAACTGATAGAGTTCTATTGGGAAAACCGAAGGAATACCTCAGTGAATTCACTTCTAATATGACGTGGTCTACTTGTATGTTCTCATGCACAGCTCTTAGAAAGGTTGCTTCAACCTGCAGATGACAATGAAATTGTTGAGGATTGGTTTTAACTTTGTATGTGTGTATTTACCATCAGCATTCTAATTGACAATGTTCACCTCTCTCTCAAAGTAGGCAGAATCATCTCGAAACTCTCCATCATCGCCTTCAGAATCATTAGAATCAGGTTTTAACTCTCCTGAAGGTGGGAGGGAGCTGCCATCTTGAGCATGCTCCAAATCATCATCTGCAGCATCTATTGCCTCCAAAAGTTTGTCAGCAGGAATGGGAGCAACTGAATGCCTCCACTCCTCATCGTGGCCTCCTTCACAAATTGACCAAACATAACCAGCCCCACCAGTACCAAGCTGACCGACAATAACAACTGTTATCAGAGAATGTCAAGATAAATGCAGCAGTACAGTCCACAACATATAAAAAATTGCAAGTGAGACAATATTCTCATTATTTACAAGAGGGAAATATGGAACTAAAACAATGCTGTAGCTCATCATTGCATATATAAAGAGAAATGTACAAGCTTCTTTACATAGCAAAAAAAGGAATGGGTGTTGTTCAAAGTCAAAGCAAACAGTGGTCATTGATTTATTTTCAAATGCTCTTTCAAGTCAACGATTCTCCCCCCTCCCCCTGTTAGTGTTTGAATTCAAACCATACTCACACTTGGGGGCATCCCTATCTGAGGGTCATTTAAACACTAATGAGGAGAAAAAATGCACACCCTTCCCCCTTCTCACCCACATTTACCTATAAATTGGAGGGACCATGCTGTGAGCAAGCTAAATCGTAACTAATTTATAGACATAAATCCACACATAGTCGTCTTTCAGTCTAGATTTCAAGGGATTGTGTCATCCAATGCTATGTCTGAGTGAAGTATAATAATCAAACACCCATAATATTAATGCTAGTCTGAGCAATTTTTTTTTAATTTTTTGTCTTAAATCTTCAAAACCCAAGTATCTACTCTTAACGAGCTTAGCCGTTCACCAAAGCTTTAGTACACTTAGCCGTTCACCAAAGCTTTAGTGCACTTACTGTACAATTTTTGCATTTACAGAGAATACAAGACAACACAGTATCAAACTACATAGCTAACCTCAGATTTGGGCCAACATTGTGTCTCCATTCGTTGGTTCGTTGTTTCCTCATTTAGTTTATCCACAGTAGGTGTGATAGCTGCAGGTAACCACATGACAAGGATAAATATCAATGAGAAAGATTACACCTCTTACTATTAATAACTAGTATAAACAAAAGGAATTAAATGAGGTTAAAAATACTGAACAGCTGTCCCTAACAAAGTTTGCAATATCCACTACTACATCCAGACAAACAAAGCTGACAATCAATACTAATTTTATCAAATAGACAATTAACAAGTATAAATTCATTGCATTCTGGATGACATGAGACATTTATTACGAAGTTATGGAAATCAATAACCATTGTCATCCACAAAATAAAACAAAGAATCCAGTAAATCATCCTACTCCAACAAATTTACTGCCTAATTATCTGTAGTATCTAAAGAGCAGCAATATGACTAATAAAAAGCAGATGCCTTAAAAGTATTACACATGGCTAAGACCATTCTTTTGCACATAACAGAACTCAACAAGACCAAACATGAAGCTTAGGAACAAAATTTCAAAGCATTACATGACATTTCTGCAATCCCGCTGCTATTGTCAGCGTACTCCAGCTCATCGTCACTATCTAGCTTAGTTGGCTGCTGCAGTCGAGATACCTTTGAGTATGAAGGGACAATAAATTTTTGTCCTATAACAACCTGAAGGTAAAGAGTGTAAAAGCACATTAAGATCGATAAGACATCAGAAAACCACAAGCAAAATGTATGTATTTGGCTCATACAAATCCAGACAAAAAGGAAAGATCAATTTGCAAAGACAAACTAAATTTGAGCAGGCAAAGGTTCACATTTCCTTCTAAGAAAATATCAAGCATGACATCAAAATAACAGTAAAAGAGAGAAATACAGGTGTTTCTCAGGA